GAAGCTCATCAAGAAATGCTACCCATTGGTAGCAGAAGTAAATGGGATGCTTAATGCGATGGCGCAGGGTGTACGTTGCGTCGGTAGGATTGGCCCTTGTACGTACTATCTACTAAGTATTTAACTGTATTACTAAATTGATGTGTACTTGCGTTGCGGAGAGATAATGCTATATATTATATTCCAGAAATCCCATTATGTTTATTCAAATATCTACACCATCGGTCCTCGAATATCTAATATGATTGTGTAGGACACCAGTATCGTTAACACTTGCCGTACCCCAAAGCCACAACCCTGATGACTCGCTGTTCTAGCATAGCTTATCAGCAACGAACGTGCCAGGTCTCACTCAAGATCGAGTCTATTGCATCATGTAGCAACAGGCGAAATTGATCGCAGAGCTTGCAAATGACTCAAGAATATATGTGCGCGCCACCGAAACATGGCAGAAAGCCGCAAGTTCCAGGGCTCCCACGATGGAAACATGCACAAGGTAGAACACCTGCTGCCTGGACTTGGCAGAAGTCGGTTTCAACCAGCGTACCCAGCGAGGCATGGCTGCCGGACGAGCAAAGAGAGCGACCGCGCCCACCATGGTGGCAGCAGCGATACCCCACTGGACATCAGAATCCCAGATACGCTTCGCAAAGAGCGAGCCGAAATCAGGGTGGCTCGACTGCAGGAAGAAAGAATCGTACATGACAGCGTGGGCGATGAGCAGCGGCGCAAGAACAATCCGACCAAATAGACGATGGTAGGCGTTGATGGTCGGCTGCGGAACGGATGTGATAACCGACACGACGGACGGTGATCCTGGTGATGGACTCATGTACAGGGCCGGTGACATGAGCACCTGCAAGGGGAGCTGGGAGAGGCTGACATGGGCTAGAGCTTTGGTAAAGTGGAGATAATCTGTTTATATCAACAATGGCTTAGCTTTCGTCTCCACGATGTGGGTGATTTAAGAATATGAGACACAGGATTGTTGTAGTTCGCGGGAGCTTAGATGAACACAAAGTGTAGATTCTGGCAAATCGGAGCCCAGACAAATGTAATCCTATGCCCCAAACTCGACCATCTCGGGTACTAGTAGTATCGGGAAATATCATAGAAAATATTGACCCACCTTCACCAGAATTCCAGATGCAAAGACTCAGCAGCCAGCCAAGCCAGATGAGACAGACGATGTATTGTCTTCGAGTCTCCATCCAGCCAGCAACTGGGGGCGTATCCAACCATGATTTCTCCAGGTTCTTTCGCCGCGAGCGCCTCTCGGTTGGCCTTTCGGTGCCAGGGGCTTCGCCAAAGGACTTCTTATATACTCGAATCAGAACAAGAGCAGCCAACACCGAGCACTGCGCGTAGAATCCACGTAAATCCAGAAGCTCCCGACGTTGCTGCTTCTCAGCGTCTGTGAGAGACGTGAAATGCCACGGCCAAGAAAACGACATTGTAATCACGGCTGCGGACAAGTAAACAACAAGGTTAAGAAATGAGGCGTCTAGCAACGTCAATGGCGGTTTAGAGATATTGAGCAACCTCTCAGACTCAGGAACCACACGTGGACTGAAGATTAAATAGACGGATGCCTGGCTTACACCGACGGCTTTACGGAAGTAGCGCATGCTAGGCCCTCGGGATCACATGATACTGAATGAGATCTACCAAGTTGTTTGCTGCTTCTAATCAGCGATTCTCATGAAGTAGCACTTGCGTGCTACACATTTGCGATTACATTTTCGGGAAACATAAGAGAAAAATTTTTGCAGGAGGGTTGATCGTGGACCAAAAGAATCTACATTTAGAACGCCATGAGCATTTCGTACCAGTCAGACGCTCTGACTATTTCTAAGTTTGACAAAACTGAATTCCACCCAAATTAGTGCGAGTGCCGTTGATATTATTCCCACTCACACCCAAGGTGCTTTGCATCAACAAGCAGGTGCTGGCCTACGCCGAGTTGGGAAAGTAGCCTACGGTGAAGTCTGCATGACTTCCTCGTGGCCGCCTGCGGCAGTCGTTGCGAAGTACCGAACATCCACGTCTTCGTCCTCCTGCAGCTTCTCCAAGCTGGGGAGGATTCTTTGCTGGATGAGGTCCTGACCCCGCGGGGATGGCGTGGCAGTTTTACCTACCTTCTCCAGGTCTGTGAGGGTTCCCTCTGTAGGGAGGCGACGCAGGGTATCGATCAGCACGGCATAAGACTTGGCCACATTGAAACGGATGTTAGGGATCTCATCCGAGACAAGTCGATCCAAGATGGGGAGAATCGAGTTCTCGATGATGTCCAGCGAAACAACGGGTGCGAGAGTCTATATAACGTTAGTAAGGCAACGTCTGTAGGGACGGTTAATCAACATACGGAAATGGCAAAGCACGTTGTCATTCTGTAAAGGTAGTTGGTGTGTTGACCCATCCCCATCACCTTGGGGATGATAGAGCCCTTAGCCCAGTCGACACCAAACACTTCCGTCAGCTTCCTCAAATTTTGAGTAGCAGCCTCGCGAATAGAGAAAACTGTATCACCGAGCCAGCCCATGCAAAGCTCGCTAAGCTGTTCGTCGAAGAACTTGACTCCCAATTGGCTTGCAAGCAGGGGAATGTATTCGATGATTGCGAGACGCACTCTCCATTGCTTGTCTTCGGCCAGCTGGACAATAGCCGGGAGAAGTGACTGTGAGAGGAGATCAATGCCGATAACTATAACAATTAGATTATGTATTCTTAATAATGAACGCGAGTGGTTCGTCTCACCTTTGTTAACCAATTCCAGCTTGGAGATGATATGAAGGCGGACATCGGGGAACTCGTCCTTGAGCATCTGCAAAAACATCGGGAGGAGGTGCGCAATAGTCCTGAACATGACTTGTAAGTAAGCTGGTTAAACGGCGTCTGCGAATCGATGGTACTGACTCCTCCTTTCCGAGTATCGGTGCAAGACCGCTGATCTGAGTACCAAGCGCGGCGCGCACATGCTGAGATGGATCAGAGACAAGATCTTCCACGCTAGTCATGATTTCGTTGAGTAATGTGTCTCGGTCAATCAGATTGCAGAAGCCTAACGCCGGTTAGCCATTGTAAGAGCCTAAAGTAAGCGAGAATCATACCTGGGATCTGTCCAGCAATGGCAGTACGGACTTCGGCTTCGGTGTCCTTCAGAAGCTTGACAAAAGAGGGAACCATATCACGAGTTACGACCTCTTCGTGCACAGCTTTAGCGATCTACCAACGAGGTCAGAAAGACACAACACACGGCGGAAGGAGCATCGTCAGGACAGAAGATACCTTCTCATATCTATCAGCAACCATGTACCTGACTCTCCAACTCTTATCCTCGAACAGGTTGCGCAAGGAGGTCAAAAGGACACCATGGCTGGGCTGCTGCTCCTTGGGGATCTCTTCCGCGATCGAGATGAGAACATCCACTGTAAGCAAGCGGACACTGTCCTGCTCGTCTGTTGCAAGGTGCTGAAACAGGGGTATCATCTCTTCGATAACGATTTGGGTATTCAATTCTTTGATAAACTTCGCCAAGTTGTTGCCCGACTGTCTCCTCACCATCGGTGTGTCATCATGTACGAGGCCTCCATAGTATTGCCGAAGGGTCTGCTGTGATGAGGGAGAAGCCTTCCTATAGGGAACACAGTACAGGCCGGTCGCGGAAACCTTCGAGGTGAACCAGTCGGCTTTCGACAGGCGTAGAACCATCGGGATGAAATTCTCTTCGATCTGCTTCTCGGACAACTGCTCGCCGATCTTATTGAGGGATTCCACAGCCTGAAACAATGTCAGCACAAAGGGAGAGTACCACAAAAGAACGGTTGCGGCTCTCTAACCTTCTCTCTGACCAGAGGCTCTTCAATAGCGGCCAAGTTCTCGAGCGGAGAGAGGAGTACATGCCCGTATTCCGGACCCCCGACATACTCTATGAAATTACCCAGCTCTTCACTCAGTGCAGTCAAAACCTCATCTTCATCCTCGACGGAATCTATGGCGCAAGAGTTAGGGGACACATTTTGACCAGAAAGCTATCCTTCTTGCGTTGACGGTACTAACCATCAAGGAAAGGGATAAGTTCTTCCCGGGTCCGCTCGGGCCCTAAGGCCAAAGCAATAGTAGACAGACGGTGGATGGCATTGAGGCGGAGGAGTACATCGTCATGCTGTGACATTCTCAGGATCAGGACTGCCGATGTTCGTGCGTCAGGGATAGGATGATCACGAGGGCAACTATACCTTCAACTCATCAATAAGGACGGCGATAGGGTAAAGCTCGTCGTTCTCTCCTTGGCCCTCCATTGCGAAAATGATGTATGAGTGTGAGGTTGAATGTTAGGGAAATACGCAGAGAGGCAAGGATGTGACCGGTCCAAGTCCTCGTTCAGGCTACGATCCGACCCGCTCGCACGCGAACACGACGAATATTTCCTAGGAAGAAAGGCAATCCGGCAAAAGGGGGCGGGGATATCGTGAAGAGGAAGGAGGATGCTAAGAACCTATACAGAGGTGAAAAGGTATCGAGTTAGCGGGGGGGAAGTGTGGTGGGAGGGAGAGGGAGATAGTAGAGGGTGAGTTGAGAACCCCGGAGCGAGGTTTCGTGGGGTTTGGGCCGCCGCAGGACACTTGAGCAACAACAGCAGCAGCAAGAACATCAGTATCATCATACCTCGACAATTGGACCGGGACCAAACAGGGAATATAGTCCAATCTCAGATAATCGTAAAAGATATAAGGCCCCCGTATATGATGCGACAGGGGTTAGAATGGAAGACTTGTGAGCGGTGATATCAAGCTAATCCGTGGAGGGGGGGGAATTGCGAAGGTGACGAGATGGGCTTGCTGGAGAGGTTGCTTTGGACTTGTTGGAGGCCGGACTGTGGCTGGTGAAGGGGAGAGCGCAAGCAGGCGGTGTACTGTCCCGTACGGAAGTCCGAGTCCGGTGAGGGTCGAACCTCCAAGCAAGAAAAAAAGGAGGGGTGATGGCCTTGTGGCGGTGCGGTTTCAGTGGCTTTGCCCGCCGCCCTCACAGAGGGTCAAGCCCCAACGGGGAACAAAAGACTTTATGACTCCGACTAGACTAACTGTAGAGTTACCCAAACGGTGGCATACTGTCCGATTGAAGCCCAGCGCTCTTGTTGCCCGTCCTCTTTCCCCCCCCGCTGATTACGTGCGGTTGACCTCGTGGTGGGACTTACACAGACTATCCTTCTCCTCAGGCAGTCTGTTGGTTTTCTTCTCCCTCTTAACTTTTCTTGTCGCCCTGTCTTAAACCTCCCCCGCTCATCACCATGCCTACCATCTCCGTTGACAAGGAGGCGCTTTTCAAGGCGCTCGGTCGGGAGTATGCGCAATTTGTTCCCTTATATTCCCTTACTTCATACTGACCAACTTTCCTAGTTATACCACCGAGGAGTTCGACGAGCTGTGCTTCGAATTCGGTACGTCCGACATTCTGAACCGGGATTGGCGGGGCAATGCGCTAACTGCTACTTTACCACAGGAATTGAACTCGATGAAGACGTAAATTCTCCTCCGACCGTTCTCGCCTCTTGAGAGTCACAATATTAACTCAAATCCAGACCACCAACTCGGACAGACCGATCGTGAACGGCAAGCAGGAACCCCCGCAGCTCAAGATCGAGATCCCCGCCAACCGGTACGCACCCGCGATAACTCTAATGATCCAAAATTCACATACTGAGAGATATCTAGATATGACCTGCTGTGCTTTGAGGGTATCGCCCTCATGCTCAACATCTTCCTGGGCCGTCAGCCTCTCCCCAACTACAAGCTGGTCGAGCCTGCCAATGGTGAACTCCAGACCATCATCGTCAAGGAGGACGTATGTCACGACCGGAAATCTGGCTTAACATGAGTGAAACTAATATGTGAGCGTAGACTATGAAGATCCGTCCCCTCGTCTCCGGTGCCATTCTCCGCAATATCAAGTTCGACCAAGCGCGTTACGAATCCTTCATCGCCCTGCAAGACAAGCTCCACCAGAACCTCGCCAGGCAAAGAACCCTTGTTTCCATCGGTACCCACGATCTGGACACCATCCAGGGCCCTTTCACATACGAGGCCCTTCCCCCGAAGGATATCAAGTTCGTCCCTCTCAACCAGACGAAAGAAATGAACGGCGAGGAGTTGATGGCTTTCTACGAGGTATGGCCCACAGGAATCTGATGAGACGAATAAGCTCGGTGCTTACTATGTAACAGAAAGACAAGCACCTGGGCAAGTACCTTCACATCATCCGCGACTCCCCCGTCTACCCCGTGATCTACGACTCCAAGAGAACCGTCTGCTCTCTCCCTCCTATCATCAACGGCGATCACTCCAAGATTACCCTGGACACCAAGAACGTCTTCATCGAGATCACTGCACTTGACAAGACGAAGGTTGAGATTGTTAACCGGATCATTGTGTCCATGTTCTCTCAATACACCTCCGAGCCTTTCACGTAAGCCCGCTTCCTCTCGGTTTTAATATTAAACCCCTGCTCACTGGACGAATAGGATTGAGCCTGTTAAGGTGATCTCCGATCACAATAACGAGACTAGAGTCGTCCCCGACATTGCGCCCCGTACGACTCAGGCCGAGGTCTCCTACCTCAACCAGTGCTGCGGCCTGGAGCTCTCCCCCGAAGAGATTTGCACTCTCCTGAAGAAGATGGCTTACGATGCGAAGCCCTCTACCGCTTCCAAGGATCTGATTGATGTGTTTATCCCTCCGACGAGAGCCGACGTTCTCCACCAAGCCGACATCATGGAGGATGTCGCCATCGCTTATGGCTTCAACAACCTTCCCCGGTCTTTCCCCAGCAAGTCCGGTACCATTGCTCAACCCCTCCCCATCAACAAGCTTACCGATATTGTGCGCATGGAGGCTGCCATGGCCGGCTGGTCTGAGGTGCTGCCCCTGATCCTTTGCTCGCACGACGAGAACTTCGCTTGGCTCAACCGCAAGGACGACGGAAACACCGCCGTCAAGCTGGCCAACCCCAAGACCACTGAGTTCCAGGTTGTCCGCACAAGCCTGCTGCCCGGTCTGCTCAAGACCATCCGTGAGAACAAGCATCACGCCGTGCCCATGAAGGTCTTCGAAGTCAGCGATGTCGCTTTCAAGGACCTGTCTCTGGAGCGTAAGAGTCGTAACGAGAGGCACTTCGCTGCTGCCTGGTACGGCAAGACGAGTGGTTTCGAGGTTGTCCACGGTCTCCTGGACCGTGTCATGGCCATGCTCAAGAGCGCTTTTATCACTGGCGAGGAGGGCCTTGAGAACTCCGCCATGGCTGACTCTCAGTACTGGATTGAGGAGCTTGACGGTAAGTCAGAAGCAAATAGACATCCCGAGATATACAGGTCACTAACTAGACGCCTTAGAACCCACCTACTTCCCCGGACACGCCGCCTCCGTCCACGTGCGCATAGCTGGCAAGGAGCACGTCATCGGTGCCTTCGGTATCCTGCACCCGACGGTGTTGGAGAACTACGAGTTGAAGTACCCCGTCAGCACTCTGGAGATCAACGTCGAAGCTTTCTTGTAAGCGACGGCGTGAGGTCAATGCAAAGTCATGCGTAGACGATAGATGCTACATAGAAAAATAGCTGATGCCATGATTGATTTATTTTATTGTTATTTCTTGATGTCATCGTCACCAGGAACGAGAATTGTCAGAAGCCAAAAGTAGTCTATCACAGTTTAGTGTGTTCAATAATACTCATAATAAATATTACAGCAGGTGTCAAAACTTTGCCATCACTCCATCGGCTCAGCTGCAGTAAATCTTAGCAGTACAGTAGGAGTACTATATCTTCCCTGGTCTGGTAATAGTACTAAATTCAAGCCCATTGAACCTCATACTAACTCTTCCTACTGTAGGACTACAGTAGTAACTTCTTATAGTAGTACTAGGCTCATGGGGCAACTTAAAACAAACAAGATGTACTTAGTTCAGCTAGTACTAACCGATAATATATATACATAAACCATAGTATGTAGGCAACCAACTACGTATACCAATAGCAAGACTACACAATCCTACGAAAGAACAGACACAAATTCAATACCAGCAGACCAAACAATCTCTTTTCCCCACGTGCCTAGGTACTAGTACTACTTTAATATTCCAGGTCCTACCCAGACCCAGCCTATGACGTAAGCCAATGAGAATAGGAAGAACAAACCAACTCATCAACCTTTCCATCTTCTCATTCCCATTTCCGCCTAGAGTCTCCACTAGAAAGAAAAAAATACAACCACAGAAGGGCGTCTCGCAACTATCCTTCCCCCATCATTCATGATAGGAAGAGAGAGAGAGAGCCGGGAGTTGAATAAACAGCTTAGAGGTCATCAAAGTAGTTGTTTATTTGGATGCGTCATAGGTAAGAGATATAGAGAAAGAGGTTTCGAGTTAGGTTAGGTTAGGTTAGGTTAATGGGCGGGACAGGGAGAGAGACTAGGTAATGAAGATGATATTCGAGAACAGGGAAGAAGAGAAGCAGGGCCTAATGGAGAAGAAAAAAAAAAAAACCAAATGAAATTTCTTTTGTTTGGGATATGATTTTTTTTTTCTTTACTCCTGGGCGTAAGCCTCGGCACCGGCACCCTCCTGGGCCTCGGTGGCCTGCTGCTCGGCCAGACGCTGCTGCTCAGCGGCCTGCTGAGCGGCAAGAGCCTTGGCGCCGTAGTCCTGGCTCATGGGCTGCAGGACGGGCTGCTCCTCCTTGGGCTCGATGATGGTGACGGCATCGGGGAGAGTCTTCTGGGGACCGGCCTTGCCCTCGGGGTCGGAACCGCGCATGATCTTGACCTTGATACCGAGGACACCCTGGCGGAGGAGAACGTGGCGGGTGGCGCTGTCGATGAATTCCTTGGCGGGCTGACCGGAGTGGATCATGAAACCGTCCTATTTGGAAGAATAATTGTTAGTTTTGCTGGTACTTTATGTCTTGCATATGATAGAGTGGTTCTTCGAATGGTAGGTGTATCTTCGGTTCGGTCCTTGCAGTTGCTTCGTTTTCGCAGATCGTAGTTGGTAATGTTGTCGTTGGATATGCGCAAATTCCACCACTGCTTCGGGACCGATCCGACCATTCGAGAAATGAAAATCAATCGCTGTTGATAGACGTACAGTGAACTTCATGGACTTGGCACGGGCAGCACGGAGCTTTCCGGAGACGACAACCTCGCAACCCTTGGCACCGCTCTCCATGATGAAACGGAGGACACCGTAGCAGGCACGGCGGACGGCCAAACCGTTGAGGAGCTTGTAGCGGAGGGACTCGCACTGAGCGACGGCGGAGAGACCGCGGTTCTGGACCTTGGCGGCATAGAGGGAAACGGAGTTCTCGGGGAACTTGAAGCGCTTCTGGATGAGGGAGGTGAGCTCGCGGATGCGGCGGCCCTGCTCACCGAGAACCTCCTGGGTGTGGGTGGCACGGATGACTGTAAAGAAAGAGAGCATCCGTTAGCAACTGGCACATATATTCCATCTTCTTTTGCATATAAAAAATCGTCTCAAATCCCCAGTAGTTTCCCGTTGTTGGTTCACAGATTCCAGGCCGTATTCCGATAATTGTTTTCCTTTTCCTCCTCCCGGATGAACCATTCATTCGTCCCATATCGGTTCTTCATGTCTCCAAATCCCGGCCTTTTCCAACACAACACATAGGGTCTGGAATCAAATGCAAAATGAAATATCGGGCGGACGTACTGATGTCGGTGACGGTGGGAGTGACACGGACTTCGACGCCGGAGTATCCCTCCTCAGCCAGCTCGCGCTGGAAGAACTCGTTCAGCTCGGCATAGAAGACACCGTCGGCGACGAACTTGCGGCGCTTCGAAATAGCTCCCTGGACAGCAGCCATGATTGCGTTTCTGTTTTATTGAATTGGCGAAGAAACGGCCGAGGGCGTAGGTTGGGGGTGTGTCGTGCGAGGGCGAAATGGGCGGCGGCGGTCAAGTCAGTTTTGAGAGAGCCGGCGTTAGTGGGCAGTTTTTGCCTTTAGGGCTTCTGCTGGCCCTTCTGGGCTAGGGCTCAACCTCGCTTGCTGTTCGGCGGGCACCTTCCCGCTTTGGGCCGCCAAGCCCCTTAGTCTACAATCCCGCTTTCTGCCTCAGATTTCAGGGTTTCAGGCATTAACTCTGATTGTTTTCTAGTTCTAGTTACAGTAGCTATGGACCTCAATCCAAGATCACAAACTGGAACTAACACTCAAAGCCCATATCCCGGTTCCAGCATCTGTATGCATTCTGCTGGTGCCCGCTCTTTTGTATTCATTGAATCATAATCTTCTCTCTGTTCCTCTGTCTGACTGTAAACTGTACTCTACTTCCCCGGAGATGCAACGTCCTAAGCATGCACTAGATCCACAAGCACACGTCGCAGAGATGATACGATATTTCTTGCTTGAACCAGGCATACCCAGATCGCTCACCATGATCCACTACCTTGTAACCACATCATAACAGCTTTCGTTGCGTGGGCTATTGCATCTCGACTTCCATCCGATTCAAGCTCTTAGGATCCTGCCCGTCCTCTTTGCTCTTAGGGAAGGCGAGATTCGAGATTCCCGCAGTTACTGCCGCCATTCCAGTGGAGGCTGCACTCAAAGTATCTTTCCCAGACGATCCAGCGCCGAGAGAATGATTAGCGGTTTCAATTCCGGTCAACACTGGTGATGGCTGAGTACTAGTCGCATCACGCCCAATGGGTGGCCTAGAACCAGAGGACCGCACGCCGTTCATCTCCGCATCGGTGCGACCAAACGACTCACTCCACCATCTGACCTCGTTGATACGGGGGAAGATCAGTCGCTCCTGTCCACGCTTGTGGTCGTCGATCTGAGGTTCGTACTGTGGATTGGTAAACTGCTCCCTCCGCGCCAGGAAGTAGTCCCACACGCTCCGAGTCCGTTCCTTCGCGTTCCAATCTGCGCGTTCTTTCTCACTGTTGAAAAGAAAGGTTCCAAATTGGCATGAGTAGAGGTGGTACAAAAGACGGCGCAGGAACCGCTCGTTGAATTCGAATCGGGTAGGATATTGGTATAGCAACTGATACGTTGCATCAAGGAACTGATGGAAGACTGGACTCGTCTCCTTCACCTTGGTAACCTCCTTTTCGGCGGCGGCGGTTCGGGGTATAGCATTGTTAGGCTTCTTCAGATTTTCTGCGTCGTAGCTTTGCATCTCCCCATCTGATTCACCAATTGCGTCGCGGCTGTTGTTATCTCTGTTAAAGAATCCTTTGGCGCTTAAGAACGCATTCTCAAGAGCTCTGCCTGCACCACCGCCTTCGCCAAACCCACGGTTGGAATCACCCCCAATTCGCTCGTTCTCGATTTGGAACCACTTCTCACTGTTCAGATGTCCTGATCTGTGTCGGAACATGTGACCGAAGGAAAGCCAATCTTTCTCCACCAGTACCATAAAGCCTTCCATCGTCCTATAGTAAGGATCAAGGCAGATCTGGCTCAGTGCACTCAACTGACTCGTACGATCCCATCCATCGGAACAGTGAATCAAGACGTGCGAATGCTGGAGACCAACCTGCCGAGCGATCAACCGAGCACCGTCTAGAATTCCGGAAATGTGCTTTAGCCATCCACTCCGTGTAAGTTGGTCTTTATTAGGACCCAATGGGGTTACATCTGAATCCTTGAGCGCATCAATCACCTTGCTTAATGAGTCTCTCATCACATGGATATTATCAATTCCAAGGTAAGCCTTGGTGGCAAATTTGTAGTTGTCCATGTTCTCCGATCCAAGTCCAACAGCTTGCATGGCGAAGGCATTGACCGTGGGACGAGCATCAACAATGAGATTGTGCTGCTGGGCACCATAAACTTGGGCTTTCCCCTCCGGATTCTCGCGGACAGGGCTCAACAACTCATCTTCCAAGTCATCAGGGACAGTCAGATCAGCCAGCATATGACTGCGTGAAGCGTTTCCTGGGGTCGAATTGGAGGAGTCCGAATCGAAGCCAGGCGGGGTGAAGCTTGCAAGAGGTCTCTCTGAGCGCGAGGTTGAAAAGATAGCCGCTAGCAACGCTTCGTCTTGAATGCTGCGATTTTGTCGCACACCGACAAGAGGCTGTGAGCTCCGTGTGATTGAGCAGTTGTTCACCGGATGAAGATATGTGAGAACCGGCACTCTCGCTCGGGACCGATACTTTCCAGCGTGATTAAGTGTATTGTCAGAAATGGCCGAGGGGACCGGTAGAAGAGCTGGATAAGTGGCAGAAAACTGGAAAGTCAGAGTCAACACAGCAATTCACACGGTAATTTGCGTGGAAATTTACCCCGTAGTCTGTATTCAGCTGAGAGATCCGCCATCCAGAACCAGCCTGATCGACGCCTTGTCTAGCCCATTCTTTGCTAGGATTGTACAGTTCCCAACCATTGAATTTCTGTTCAGGAGGGGGAGGGCGGTATGAGAAAGCGTACAGCTTATCAATGCGGCCCACTTTACAGGTCCAGCATTTGATGGTTTCGTAAACATCACGCGCCTTGCTCTCCGTGGTGAAATAGAAGCAGACAAAGGTGAAATCGCGGCACCGGAGACGAATGGAGGACGGCTGGCGGGATGCGGCGGGGGTGGGGCGGCAGGTGCACAAGGAGATTATGGGGTATGTGATCCAAAGCTCTTTAGGCCGACCAGAAGGGCCCGGAGCCTGAGACGCGTCGGTGGAGGAGGAAGGAGCAGGAGGAGGAGTGTGAGAGAAGATAATATGGTGAGGGGTGAGGTGGAGAGTGCCGACCACTTGCTCGCCTCGGCGCGCCAAGGTCACATCTTCAACCTGAAGCATCACAGAAGTCGTTAGTCGGGATATCTCATCGTAGTGCGCTTTACTGCTGGATTGAAGCACTCATATAACACTGACCTTAGCAACCCGTGTTCTCTCCATGCCTGGCCGGTTACTCGGTCTGCATCAGATTCATGACTGAACACACACCGATTGGGCACCACGGACTTGCAGCACGGTCGGCGACTACTGGAGCTGCAGACCCGTGAAACGAGAAAAAAAATAAACGAAAGAGGAGAGCGCAAGAAATCAGAACGGTTCACAATATGTAAATGGAGAGGAACGAGGCTTAGAAGTGAAAGATGACAGGCGACATTTTCAGCAGTAACAGCAGCACGGACACTCGGCCAAATGCGGAGCCCCTCGCTAGTCTAAACGGAAGTTGAACCATCCATCACTTCTCCAAAAAAAGCCTTAAAGCCAGACTCCAGTCTTCCAACTACGTCAGTCCCGCCCGGGGATCCTATGGTTTGGTCACTCCGGTTTCTCTTTATTCTGTAACCCCCATCACCATGTTTTCTGCCTCTGAATTCTGTTCTCTCCTGCACCCTGAAATCCCCGATTTCACTAGGAATTCTTACGTGGCACTCCATTCACTTCTACCCCCTGAAATCTCTGAGTCTAATGAATATTTCCCCTCATTAGGGCAGCTATTGCTTGTGAGGGGTTGCCATTTTGGGAAACTCATCTGATCTTCAGGGTCAAGTGCTGCCTCCCATAGCACCTCATCATCATCTTCTTCTACTCCTATCATGCTGCTGGCGGAACAATTGCTCTTCATCTGATCTATTGCAGTATTACTATTTGCCCTTGTTCTTTAATACCATTTCATACCACATCCAATCTGTTATTTTCATAGACATCCCTGTCACCTGACCAACAATATCTCATATAACATTTTTATTTTCGAACCAACTAAAAGAACATGCCAGAACTATACTGTCCTATACCGCCCAGGGACAAGGACATATACCGCTTTCGGCAGCAATTTGGAGCGAGTCTGGGATCTTTCTTTGTACTCGGTCCGCGTAATACTGCTGGCGAGTCAAATGAACTACAGTTACTCAAAACGTAGGTACAAGAAAACACATGACATCCTCCCCACATACATGGTTCCTCCCCTATAGGTACTAAACCGCAGTATGCCATGACCAGATCCATAGCATTCACCGGACTCGAGCAGACCAAACAGAAATGGGAATCCCACTGGCACTCTGCACTGACGGACAATGACCTTGCCTGGCTCAAGGACGTAGCGCACTGCCGAACCCTCCGCTTACCATTGAGCTTCTACTCCATCGGACCTGTATTCAGTCGGGGAACATCCTTCGAAGGGGATCCAGCAGAAGTGTACCACCAATGCTGGAGTACCGTGAAGCATCTCATCGAAAAATGTTGGTTCCACGGTATCGGCATCCTCATTGACTTCCAGGCCAGCGCCAGCGGTATAAACCTCTGTGCCAGTGCAAAAGATCGAACAATAGCCCGGGACTGCGTCGCTTTCCTTGCCCAAGAAATAACCTTTCACTCTATGTCCGGGGTAGTCGGACTTTCCGTATCCTCCGGATGCGAACCCGCCCCAGACATGTGCGAATGCTACGACGAGATCATCCAAATAGCCAATGCCATTGATGCGTCTTTGCCTGTATACATCAACGACAACCAGGCACAATGCAACAAACGGGTCTTCGAGGGTTGCGAGACCGACATTCCTCAATTCAGGAGCGACATCTCGAATGGTAAAGTCCAAATACCTAGTCAAATGACGCTACCCGAAACAGAAGTCCGAGAGAAAACCAACCAAGCCAGAGCCGAACGGTCACGATTCCAGGAGAAGGCTTTGTCGCAAGTCTCGGGGTCTTGGGGCTCGAATAAACGTCAAAGCTTCGTCCATGGCTGGAATTTGGGATACGATGATGCGTTGCGATTCTTTGGCGCTAGTGTTCAAGGTATCTTGGCACCGCGGAAAGGTGCGGACAAGATCTATGATACAGAGTTGTGGGTTCAGCAGCGCAAAAGGGATATAGACCCGGAGCAGCTGGAGGAGAATTCAGCGGCATGGGAGGATGGTCTTCGAAGAGGGATTAACGATTTCTACGACTTTATCGGAATTTAATTTTAAGAAGCAATTATCGGTCGATAATAGAAAGTAGTCTTCATATGTCTTTGATAAAGCGCAGTGAGTGATAGTGGAGATGTTACTACTATGCATCGACTCCTCAAGACCGCGGCGGAAATATATTTCGTGATCAAGACCAACGGTACTTCACCATCAGACATCAGGACTACTAGCAGCTACTATAAAATACACAAAATTGAAGTAGAGGGGCATAGTCTTCTCAATTACAAGTTATATCATACTGTACATACATCATCAATATAAAAATCTATTTATATAATCGAACACTGCTTCCCCGCCAGCCTAACTCAAATAGTATCATTCCAAACAGCCCCCAAGCGCCTCGCTCTATCCAACTCGAAAGCCAATGCGCAAGCAGTGTTATAGAACGTGTGGAACTCTTCCTTGGACGCAGCAGCATCCCGCGACACATTCTCGGAAGAAATATCAACGTTGGAATCAGCCGACGCAGAACCGTCTGTCATGTCCATGTTCAGGAACAAGTCCGTGGTACGGTACGGGTTGAACGGCCCGCTCTCGTAAAAAGCATAATTGAGCTGCTGGCCACGGAAATCGTACTTGTGAATACGAGTTCCCCGGATATCGCTGACGGGGAGGAAGATGTACTCTGCGGAGCTGTCGGCGGCGTCCCGGGGAGAGATGTCGCGGGGGAGAGTGACTTGTGTGAACGGAGGAAGAGGGAGTTCTCTGTCTGTTGTGGAGGTGCGGGAGAAGAGGCTCCGGAGGGATTCCTTGATGTTTGAGAGGGAGAAGGAGTCGCTGTCCTGGGACTGGGGAAGGAGCTCCCGGGTGAGTTTGCGGGTGAAGCGGAGGTCAAGTCCGTTCTCGGGGAGGAGGTAGTCGACGTTGCTTTCAGAGAGGATGAGTTTTGCGCTGCGCATGGAGAAGTCAGGGGTTGCATCTTCGGGTGTGCTGCTTGTTTTGGCAGTGACTTCTAGCTCGAGTTGGGGGAAGACGCTGGCATTAAGAGCTGACGGGACGAGTCGGAAGCGGTAGGCTTGTTGGTGCTCGTCCACTGGTTTAGGGGTGAGCGTGCGGAGAAATTGCGCTGCGCGAGGGATGTCGGTGGTGAAGGTCCTTGGGAGTGACATTCTGCCCAGCTGAGAAGCGTTGACCGAGCTCTCTTCGAAGAATGGCTTGCGCAGGAAGAGACATTTGCCGACTGCTGCCGTGATGGATTCATGGAAGTCGGCGCCAGTTTCAGAATGTGCCTGATGAGTGACGGATGATTTCTGTCGAAGTAGCTTGAAAAGCTCGTCGGATACCCGAGTTTGATGGTTATCGAACATTACCGTGTCTGAGGGCTTTACCTCGTCAGACTGCGTTGCTGGTGTGGCCCATCGGAACCACGCCTTTTGCCTCTCGAACCATGACGTGTTGTTCTCAGGATCAATGTCATGGACACTGGCTGGCTCAGTTGAGGGTAGGTATGTGCTGAACGGTACAGCAGGAGCAGTTCCACTGTAATAGGCAAGGTGCAGGGCCCTACGGGCATTATCTGCATCCTGTTTGTCTTCGGCAAGATAGTAGATTTGGCTTGGCGTATGTGGTGTATTTTGTTCGAATGCTACTCTATAGGTTTTGGTCACCCACGAGAGAAACTCTGGAGTGTAGATGCGGTTGTTGACTTTCGTCTTCGTTTCGTCAGGTGGCAATTCAATGCTTTCTTGTCGAACCCTGGCTATGGCATCGTGTACAATCTCACTGATTGATTCGCAGATACGTTGCATTCCTGTGATCCTCACAAGACCAAGCGAATGCGTAACATCAATCTTTGCGTCGTGCATGTTGGCCAATTCTTCGAAAGAGAAATGCTGCGAACTGAGGAGCAAAGACAGTATATGCGTCGGCAGCTGTATATCTAGTTGACCGACTTCATCAAGGACTCCGAGATGCCAGCAGTCACGGAGTATTCTTTCAGCCAGTAAAAATTTTCCCTTGAGACCTTGCGACGCTGCAACTCTATCGGCGACACCTTTTCGGGAAAGATAACTGCTTTCGAGAAACTCAGAGACTCCGGGCGTCCAGCATGTGGGCGTCGTCTCTGGTGTTCCGTCCCTGTCCAACTCATTCTCCTTCCATTCTATTATATAGTCCAATAACTGCCGGTAGGTAAATGACGCCTGGAATTCGTTTCGGAGCGCCGTCCAATCGGCAACGGGTAACTTGTGATGAGGTTCATAATCGAGACGGAAACTTTCGACACGAGTTTTGAGCAGCTCGCTATCAACAAATTGATCGTCATTGTCGATTTCCCTCAAAAAGAGAGGAAGGGCATTTTCGTCGGTGACCTCCTTCGGCTCATCCTTGGCTATGCGTAGTCGACGGCGTTGCCGGTCCTTGACCACTACGACCTCACCAGGATTTCCAAGCGAGCTCACAGAAATGGGTACTTTTTTACCCAGTCTCCGTTTGAGTCGGTGGTGCTGGAGACGGTTGTGGCCAGGGGTACGGCGCGAAGATACGTGTTGCGGCGGCGTCTCCTCGTGATTCGCATCAGTTTCGGTGGATTCGAACCGGATAGATACATTATGCCGGCGCAAGGAGGGAGGGAGTAAGCTTGCTCTGCATTCTGGGAGCAGCCGGCAGCCTAGAAGACTTGCTGCACTGTTGGAAGATCGAGACAGCATATGGACCACGAAACCAAATGCACCAGACCGGAGTTCAAGAAAAGCCCGGGATGGAAAGTTGAAGCTCAGATTGATGCAATCTGAACTACCCGCTAGTCCACAAGTGGATTAGCTCATAATGTGGACCCACCCCGAGCAGTTCCTCGATTATCGATATGGTTATCGGAGACTACGCTTACATGGGGCAGTTATCTACCCCAACATTCTGGTGCCATAAGTGAGAAAACAGACATATTGAAGAACAGAGGCACGAGTAAAAGTCATAGGGGTATTATCCAAGAGACTTCTTAACGCCACAAAGCACCATACTGAATCACTCCTTGTTCATGACCTCCCAACTTCGCAAATCCTCGCGCACATCGAACTCGGACAGTTCAAATTCCGAACTACGATTCTTCCAAGCCTTGCCTTTGGGATTGTCATACAGTTGCTGTTCTATGCTTCCGCTTTTCCGTGTATGATCAGCGGCTGGGGCAAAGTCTGTTCCTTTCACATCGTTGCGATAATGATTGCTTGAAGAACTCCTTGGTCGCCTCTCAAAATTCGAAGGAGACAATCGATTGTCTGATGAAGCTTGCCTTACGCTTGAGCGCCCATGTGGTGACAGTCGATCTGCCTGATTCTCGACTGATTTCTCTGCACGGGCATCATGCCCATCTGCCCAGCTAATGCTACCGAAGAACAGTTCTTCGATCAGCTTGTCGGCCGGTAAATCGTCCGCCCGCGAATTCCAAGACGCGGCCAGTGTGCGGCGGTACATGTCTTGCATATCTGTCACTTCGCGGCTCTGGGTGTTTATCGAGGGAAGCCGGCCCAGATCGTCGTGTTCGCCCTGTTCCGAGGACACAACCCCAGCGATTCCGCCAAAGACCATGGCTGATTTGAGAGGCGGCCTGAATGTCATCAGCAACATGCTCCTCGAAAGTATTGCAGCGCATCCCAGTATAGTATACGACATACGTAATGTAGTTCCGATCCCCTTCGACCTGGCGTGTAGCTATACCAACTTTAAGTGTACTGTTGATCTTGCTATCCTGCATCAAGTATCTCCGGACGATGCCCTCGTCATCGTCACTCTTATCCACATATTCGGAAAGATTGAGTCTGATCCTCCCTAGCAGATTCTTCTCACTGTTCCCCCCTGACTCAAACTCTTGAATGACTTCGAAGTACAATTCGCATTCGTGTAGAGTCTGGTTGCGGTCAATGGTGAGCCTGACCTGCAGGACCTTCTCATAGTTCCAAGATGCCCGATGATCTATGATGATCGCCTTATCTGTGTGGCCGTGGTGTTCAGGCGCACTAGATGACGGTAGGCGCCATTTGACGAAAGCGGTACCGCTCACGAGGGGGACATTATTGAGGTCAATGATCTACAACCACCATAGCAGTTAGTTGGTAGGTCATTTGCAATGTGATCAATGTTCCTTACTCTGAGTATTAACTCAAACCGAGGCTGCACCTGGAATTGGCATCTTCAATACTTCCATGGATCGAACATGATCGACTTACTCTCCGGTTCTTGGGGACTAGAGTTGCATCATTAGCGCAATTGCCAGAAGACATGTCATCCTATTGGGTGACCCGATTTGTTTGATGAGATATAGAATGGGTAACATACCGAAGGCCTGCATGATTGGCAAGCCCGGAGCGAAGTAAACAGACCTGTATCACCTGTCTTTCATCTATTCGAGTGACCGGGTAGCTTCACGACATCCTGAGAGGCGCTGCCGGTCGAGGCCCTCCCCGAACCCCCACATCCGGAGCCAAGGCGGCGAGCTTCCCCCTGACGGCAGGAACTGACCGCCTGAACGTATCTAATCAGGATCACGTACGCGCTAACGTTCGAGGCTTGCAAAGATGAACGCTTTGGTGGATATTTAGAGGCAGTATAGACAGCCTCCAAGTACTAGTAACTGTAAGGACAAGCCAGTTATTGCTGCGAGCCGTAAAGGAAGCTCATTGGAATACAAATGGAGCTGCGGGGCACCGTCTCGGATCAGGTGATCATTAATGGCGGTGAACCGGCAGATGGCAGTAATGGCGACTGACAAAATCCCAGGAACATTCAAGAACTCTCATCACCTCAGTTTCCAAGAACCCGCGAAATCTCACTATTTTCTGGCACAATCTACCCTATTGAACTCGACTTTTGTATATGGTTGTCCAGTAAACGCCCGTTCTCAACAGCCTACATCAATATGGATCAACAACTCCCTCTCTCTCCGCCTTCTGAGCCGACGCCTTCTCCCACAGCCAAGGCGGTCCCGCAAGACTCCCCTGTCCGCACCACTGCGATTCACGAACTGCTACCTGAGATTCGTATTCCGGGCGAACCATTACCGCCGCACAAATACCATCCAGTTACTTGCACTCCCATCGACGAAGAAGAAATACGCTCCCAGATTGAACAACTACGCCAGGAATATCCGACACCAGAAGCGGCCCTGAAGGCGCAAGAAGAAGCTGCCAGGGAAGTGAGGCAAAAGCTGGAAGATGCCGAGAAGAAGCGCGAAGAAGTGCAGAAAGCTATGGACAAGAAGATCAAGGAACGCAACACAGAGATGAAGGTCTTGTCCAAATACCAAGAAGTCAAGACTTCGAACATTGCGTCTTAAATACTGTGTTCAGTCAGATAAGCTTTACACAAACCATGCAGACATATTCATACATGGCCATCAACAAAAGGGCACCGCCAGTCTTCTCAGAGGGGACAAATACAATGAGAGATGAATCATTGTGCGACCTCGAAACCCGGACGACTAGCAGATGGCGCCGAGCAGGTTGAACTCCTCTTTGAGCCGCTCTACTGGAATTGGCACCCAGTGATGGGATGAATAAGCCATACCGTGTGCTCGGCTTCATTCAGGATTGTTTTCTCCAAAAACCCGGCGTGACAGATCTGAATACGGTTCGGCTTCGATGGAGATCTCTTCTACGGCTCGGAAAACATACTGGCAAATCGAGCTACTTCCTATACAAGGCTTGGAGGCAATCAGGAAGTGTTCATCCATGAACACCGCGATGAGTTGATCTTGCGATTACGGCAAAGCCAGCTCCACACCAGGAACGGCGATAGGTCATATGACTATGGATGTGCTAATATTAAGACGTCGTCTGTACTTGACGTTGAATCGGCAGCACAAGCGTCGTGAACATTGAATGCATCAACATCAAACACATAATTACTCATAGGATTAAAGTAGACTCGTTGTCCATCAGATCGTATATCCTTCAAATATCACGCCTCATTACATTCACAGCGATCCCAAGACCTTAACCAAGGCGGGAAGCAACTGTGAAAAGTTAGCCTGTGGCTCACTGTGCGGTTGTTGTTTAGAAGAAACTTACCTCGGAAGCGTCCTCAACGAGTACTTGCGTTTCGTTGACAAACTTCGAAGTCAACAAGTCGTTGGCATTTCCAAGGAGACCGCCGATTTCGCCAAGCATTTCGGGTGTAAGGATAGGCGCAACTTCACTCAGGATCGGCGAAACTTCGTCGATGAGGTTGCTCGTCTCATTGACGAAACTAGGTGTCAACAGGTTCGTTGCGTTACCCAGCAAGTAGTTCACCTTCGTGAGGAGAGCAGGAGTGATTGCAGGTGCCACACTATCGATCAGATTCTGGGTCTCTTCAACGAACTTGGTGGTCAAGAGCTTGTTGGCGTTGCCGAGAAGTCCGCCGACCTCGCCGAGCAACTCAGGTGTGATGACTGGCGAGAGATCGTCGATCAATCCCTGCGTCTCATTGACAAACTTCGCTGTCAATAGGGAGTTTGCATTGTCGAGCAATCCTGAGACCTCTGATAGCAATTGAGGTGTGATGACCGGTGAAAGATCGCCAATCAAGCTACGGGTCTCCTTGACAAAATCGGTCGTCAGTAGGTCGTTCGCATTGCCAACCAATGTCTGGGTCTCATCAACGAATCCGGTAGTCAGCAGAGAGTTGGCGTTGCCCAAGAGACTGCCAACTTCCTTTAGAAGAGCAGGTGTCAAGACTGGAGCCACGGCGCCAATCAAGCCCTGAGTCTCGTTGACGAATGTCGGTGTGAGCAGGTCATTGGCATTGCCCAACAAGCCAGCAACCTCTGCGAGAACAGCTGGTGTAAGTACAGGGGCAACGGCGCCGATCAAGCTCTTGGTTTCCTTCACGAAGTCGGTGGTCAACAGGTTATTAGCGTTGCCCAGGACAGAATTGATCTCCTTGAACAATTCGGGGGTCAGGTTAGGAGCAACAGTTTCAATCAAAGATTGAGTCTCATTGACAAAGCCTGGTGTCAAGAGGCCATTGGCATTGCTGAGGACCGAGTTGATCTCCTTGAACAGCTCTGGTGTCAAATTAGGCGCGACTGTATCAATCAAAGATGTCGTCTCCTTGACGAAGTTTGCAGTCAACAAGCTGTTGGCATTAGTCAAAAGAGTGTTGACCTCCTTCAGCAGTTCTGGAGTCAGGATCGGGCCGACCGCGCTGATGAGGGACTTCGTTTCCTTAACGAAGTCTGCAGTCAGGAGATCATTGGCGTTGTTAAGCAGCGTGCCAACCTCACCAAGTAGGTCTGGTGTCAGTACAGGAGAGACAGCTTCGATAAGCTCACGTGTCTCCTTCACGAAGTCGGCTGTCAGCAAGTTGTTTGCATTGCCAATCAGGCCGTTAACCTCCTTGACAAACTCAGCAGTCAAAAGGTTGTTGCCATTATCAAGCAAGGTAGAGACCTTCTTGAACAATTGTGGCGTGACGAGCGGGCCAACCGAGTTGATCAGTTGCTGGGTCTCGTTCACAAAGTTCGGCGTCAATAGGCTGTTTGCATTGTTGAGGAGACCGGTCAATTCAGTGATCAACTGCTTGGTGAGTAGGTTGTACGCAGTGTCGATCAATGACTTCGTCTGGTCGGTAGTCTTGTCATCAAACAGATATGCAAAGTGGTTGAAGAACGATTCCACATTCTTCAAGAATGTTGGCGACAAGAGACCCAGGAGGCCATCGAGGCCATCACCAATGTCCGTCAAAAGATTTCCGGAAGAGCCGCCTGCGGATGATGAAGAACTCGTCGTTGCGGAAGACGCGGTGTCCTGCGTGGAGGTGGTAGACTGACCAAGACCTGCTGCTGAGGGGGATGCGGCAGCAGTGCTGCTTGCTCCAGCATTTTGGCTAGAGCCACCACCAAGGATTCCACCCACCAGTCCACCAAGAAGATCTCCTCCCTGTGACTGGGTGGCGGTTGTTTGGCTTGTCGATTCCGGAGCTGCGGCTGTTTGCTGTACGGCACTGGGGGTGGTTTGCTGGCCAGCTACATCGGCAGATGGCTGCTGGTTACCGGTGTCTGTGTTTGTGTTTGTGTTTGTGTTTGTGTTTGTGTTTGCGTTTGACTGCTGAGTGGCAGCATTCGCGCTTTGCTGGTCGGCACTAGCATCGTTGTCTGGCTGCTGCTTGGTACTGGCCGTCTGCTCGGATGCACCGGTTGCTGCCGCCGACGCTGCCGCCGCCGCAGTTGCCTCTGCTGCTGCAGTTGTTTGTGCTGCAACATGTTCCTCTGGCGCTGGGCTTCCCTGTGTAGAGATGGCCACGGATGAGGAAACCTGGGCCGGAGTTGCCAGCGAAGTGCTGGAAAGCAAAAGGGCGGAAAGAAGGGCCGACGAGACGCGCATGTTGAGGGTGCTCTCCACCAGGGAATGCCAGCAATTGACGACGGACGGGTCAGGGTCCAGATCAATGCAGACGGCAGGGCTCCTTTTATGCCTGCAGATACACGGCAGCCACCCGCGCTATCCACATCGATCCAAATATCGAGACAAGGCCGAGGGCTGTCCTTAACCCCACATGTGAAATGACTAGGACGTGCTGGGGCGTCTCATAATAGCCACACTACCGAGTCCATGCGGATTGGCCTCGTCCTAACCTAACGGGGATAATTCCTTTTCGGTCCCTGGTCAAGGACAACGTGACGATCGTCCGTATTGGACCACCAGATGAGTACCCGAACTGGCTACCCACCGCAGGGGAATGCTCCTCTGATCCAACCGAGTAGATGGTTTGATCTGGAGCAGCCTATGCTTGTCGGAGTGAACCGTGCACCTTAAGCTGCGTTAGGGGCACTTAGCCTTGCGGGGGGGGGGCGAATGAATGGGAAGGGAAATTACGAGGTGCACTTAGGATCATGGTTTGGCTCCCGATATGGGCTTATTTTTCCGCTCTAACTTCCTGGGTACCTCGGTGATCGACACCAAAGCCCATCATTTTGAGTCAAGCGAGCATCTGACAAAATTTGCCCTTGCGGCTATGATGCCATGTCGCAATTGACTCCGCGGTGGGTGTTGACACCCAAACAGTGATTGGATGTGCCTTGGGAAACAGGAGTCCTAGTTCCTGGCTAAGGGGTGTGACCTGGGAGGTCCACTCTTTCGACTGTTACCCAGTGGCAGTGTTCGCCGTTCACGTTGGTTATCAGGTTGGAAGCTGTGGGTGACTATCACCTAAGCCATCTACGGCAAATGTTCTCCGACTTGACTTTGCGGGGACGGGTGGAAACAATAGTAGTTTACCGGTAGAACCTGGGTCTCCAGTGATGGACGCTAACTACAATGTACTCGCACGAGTAGTCGTTGGAATGCCCTCAGTGCAATGGCCAACATAAGTGCCCAACCCACCCGCAGCAGCGAGGTTGCACTCGGAGTCCGCGAAACAGCGCAAGGAGCAGTTGCCGTGCTGCGAGGTTCGGCAAGAGAGATGCTCGGTAACATGTGAAGTAGCAATGGCCCTGGCTACTGGAGTTGGCGAGCGGGCAGTTGGCGATTTAGGTTTCCCCCTCGGACTCGGTCTAAATTAGCTTGATGATCGACGGCGACCATCAAGCGGGGTTGGCGCCGTGGTTCCTCGACAACCACACGAAGCATTTCTTGGTCAAGCTGGGGAAGGAATGGGTCAGGGCACACCCATAACCGTTGGTTCTGAGTTGGCTATCATCTATTGAGCATGGTCCCCTCCCGCATTTTCACATCGCCAGTCAACACAAGATCCCCCTCGGTCGCGAGTCATTCTTTTCAACGTCATGACAGTGCATCAACTGAAGAAAGAAACGGAATGTTACATTACTGGACCTGCATAATAAAAATTTCCACGATGCAGTGTGCGGGCTATTTTATGCAGATGGTGGCCTCCACACCCGCATTAACTTTGCGTAACTCCGAGGTATTCCCTCTCACCACCCGAACATCTCACCTCATCCTTCATATCCAGAGCAATGTCTCATCCTAGGATTTCAAGATTTCAAAAATCTGATTTCAGGAGCCAATTGATCTTTCACGGCTCCAAAAGATTGTGATCCGCAGCGACGACCGCACCAGCCATCACCGACCTTGGGATGTCAAGAAGATGAGACAACCAAGGGGGAGCTACCCTATCTCTGGTAGATTGCATATTGCAGACTAAAACATTGTGCTACATGACACAGTGCAGACCTTACTTCCAGACTACCACGCTCTCAGAGGCAAAAGCAGGAATTGGAACTGGCAAGGAGAAAGTTATTTGACGGCTCGGGCCCTACTTTCTCGATCAGCAAGGGAGGCCGATCTTGCCGCATCCAAAACGTGCTGACTTACTTCCATTTCTGTCGTAGATAACCAGATAAGTTTTCTACCACGATGATAATTATAGACACTTTCTAGATCCCATGGAATCATCCAGGTACGAGAAGTTAGTTCATTGCTATTCCAGTTGTTCTGGTTTATTATTTGCAGGATGGTGTGCGTGTGTGGTGGTGGTCTGGGTTGGGTTGGGCCCAAAAATCAGACCGGATCTACTTCCGCTCTATTTTGTAACGGTAGCCTGCTTCAGTAGATGGCCCAAATATGGAGTCAAGTCGGTTGGATGATCTGCTACTTAGTTTTTCTCCTTAATTCTTATTCCTCTGTTTTGCGGAAAACCCTTTTCTCTCCTTCCTGCTGCACTGTTGGTTATCACAAAGGGGCAGGTGTATCTTTGAGGTTGTTTCAAGCTGACGATGCGAAATTCAGGGTCATCTTATCGCCTTTTCATTCTCTTATCTAGTTCTACTCGGTTCTAGATGCGTTGCCTATCTTTCTAAGTGCTTGATCCAACAACCTTAAGTGGAATATGTAATGTATTCTACGGGTCCTGTTCATTCCTTCACCGGGGCTCATCCGTCCATGCATATCAAAATGGAATACTTAGGAGCCGGTGTTTCACTCATAGCCGTATTACCCGTTAAGAACTTACCTATATACCATCTCAGGCTAGGACACTGCTAGCTATAGCAGACTTTTCGGGGGTAGACGCACTAAATGAGTCCTCCAACACATTGCGTGATTTATTCATCGGAACGATTTTTGAGCAGACGGAAACTACTCGCCATTTTTCTTACTGGTCTATTCAACACTGATATCGTATATACCTGCCGCAGAATATTCAGAAACTAAGTACTTGGCGATGGTCCTTGGTGTCGTCTCATAACAACATGCTATCCATTTCAATTCATATTTCGATCTTTTGTCCTTATATCTGATCGAGCTTGCTAGGTAACATGCAAGCTATACGAATACTTCACCAGTTGAAGCAAGAATGTGGCCCTAGACGCTATCTTCCTCGAACTACAGAGACTTGCAACATTGCATGCTACAACGTAGGAAGGTCGTCGCCGCAGCTAAACTTAGCTAAACTGCATGCAAAGAGATAAAAAAAGGAGTGTCGCAGCTGGCTACCTAGCTACCTGCGAGTGACCCTCCTATCTCTCTCCGTCATCCACCACATACTTTCTACTTTCCTATTCCTTCTGGTAACTATGCGTAGCCTTTCCACCGACTCAAACTGGGCGTGTTCGGGGTTTCTACTCATTATCTTCAACCGCTATCGCCATTTTCCTGGAGCCTAGGTGTTTCTGGCTTCGCTAGGTCTATTCAGGGTAGGAGTCGAGTCCGACCTGACCGAACCGCTTGAGCAGGCCTGTCCGCAATATGTAGTCAGCGATGTAGCGGTTCGCCTGTGGAACTACCTGCCAGTAATTCCCGGTAAGAGATACTCTGTTACAGTGAAGACGAGGAAGCCTGAATGTATAATTTACTCTACCTCTTTTAGCATGTTTATTGAGCTAGTATCCTTGTTGAGACATTCACTGCAGCCAGACAGGTGTCAATTGATCCTTTGCCTCCTCTTCTTCCTACGTGGTCTCTGACGACCACCTGTGTTAACCATCCAACTCAGACTTGGAAGAGTAAGATCTGATAGAATATGAAACAGCAAGATTGATAAATACGAAGTGGTTCAGACTTGATTCTTACCCAAATGAGCGTTTCTACAGTCTAATTGATATGTCTCTCATTTTTCTTGCATGCTTAAAAGGTTATAGAAGAAAGCATCGACTAGAGCTTGCGAATATTACTCTATCCTTTACTTTTGTACTTCTCTCCCTCTTCATTCTCTTTTTGCTCTGATATAAACACTTGATATACGTAACTTGCGTCACAAGGGTATAGGTAAGTTTGGGATGTTGGTGTGGTGAGCCTGAGGTACTACAAACCAGGTCCAGATTGGTAATATGTCTTGTTGACTCTGCCTCTACAAGTCTTAAGTCAACGCGATTGATCTTGATAGGTAAGTTACATCTCTTTTCTCGGGTAAGGAACTGAAGAAGCCTCTTTCTCTTCCATCTTCGAGCATCCGTCAGAGGGCATGTCGAACATCTGCCAGTGGTTATATGTCTCTCTTGTACATAATAGGGACTTCTTCGAGCACTTTATATGTGAGTTATGTGACCTTCATATAGTGGAACTAAGCTTGAAAAGTCATGCCCTACCCTTTCCCGAGTAACACAGTACTAATCAATACACAACATCATTAGAGATAGGAACTAGCTTGAGTAAATATATTTAAAAAGGAAGATGGGTCATCTATATTTGATTTGGACTTAACTCTACACAAGTAGTAGTGTTGTTTCGCTCAAACATTCTTTGCGAATACCTCAGCCTTCCAAGTAAATTACCATTACATAATCACATCTCAGGAAATACCTCAACAATCTTCATCTCTGGAAGAGCTGAGATAGATCTCTGCACGGCTGAAGGAGGGGCAGATCTATCCCGTGAATTAAGTGGGGGGTTCAGGCTAACGATCCATTAGTGGATATTATCAACCGCGATGATTCGACCACAACGGCTGTTCAGCTATTCAGCTGCTCAGCCGTACAGTTCAACAACAAATCCAATCCAATTTCCATTTCAACAAACGCGAGGGCCTAAGCGAAGTGGGGTTACATACGATTCGAGTTGAGGATTATGATATCAGTGACAAACTCAGCATGATGTTGGTGACTACTATAAACCCCATTCATCTTTCATCCCCCCTACGTCACGACTCTGTTTTCCTCTTGAACATCAACCTCCCCTACTACTATCCAAACCGTGACTACTAGAATACCAACTACCAGCACCACTTCCTCACCGCTATCCCACCCCTCAAGTTCAATAACTTTCTGCATCATGCCTGTTTCTGCTATCGAGAGGTATGACCTTCTATCATCATTCTAAACATCTCCTATCTTGATCAACCTCCAAATTAGTAAATGACCCTACTCCTGTTCTACATCACCAGTCTTGAGGAATACCTATACCTCATCAACTCGGGCGATGTGGTAATCATCGACTTCTGGGCTACAGAGGGTGGTCCTCACGAAACAATCAGTTCAGTCTTCGAAGACCTGGCCTCCAAATCTGAGTTCAGTGAGATCAAGTTCGCCAAAGTCGATGCTGATGCCCAACCTGAGATTCTTAACGAAGCTGGAATCGGATCCTTTCCTACTTTCATGGCGTTTATGAATGGCAATAAATTGGACGAGTTTGTGGGTGCTAGTCCCCAAGGCCTGGAAGCGCTTGTTGAGCAGTATGCAAGAGTCTGATAAACTATATACTACTATGTTGTGCTATGTGCCTTTGCGTGAAGCGAAATGGAATTCTGGGTCTGATCTAAGTATATGTCTTGAATCACTGGTGGTTCTCTAGTCATTTGATTATGTTGACAGTATTAGTTTCGAATTCTTATAGCAAGAAGTAGACGGAAAGCACATGGAATGACTAGTTTCATTCATTGGTTAACGGAAGATTTGAATATACTTATAGCTGTCGCTAGTGACAGTACAAGCGTGGATGATGCACTTAGCACTATACACTCCAGTGTCACCTTATTAGTGAGCAGTAAGGCAGGCTATAACACTGATTCTATAGTAATACAGACATACTATAAACGAGTTATAGCTTGAAGAGCTCGAAGAACGAGACAAATCTCTGATGGGCTATCAACCCCATGGCATAAACTAGTTATCTTGATTTATATTACTCATAACTATCCCATAGAAAACTACCAACTTGAGCCATCTACCCAAACACGAATCAACGTCTATACCTTCAAAATAGACCCATTTGGCCAGCTATCCCTTCCCACCAACAGAATCGAGGCACTACGATAGTCTAGCTATCTACTCCTACCGTCACAGTGATAGCCTTTCAGGAATGATAAAAAGAGAAGTAAACTCAATTCTGAGAATAAGTCAGACTCCAATTCAACATAAGAAGGGAATGTTGTCAAAGACAGTCCCGCAGATAGCAATCAGTGCTAGTCAGACTTGAAACATGTCATTGCGGATCACTATCAGTCCTGACGGAGATGAGGGTTTCACTCTTATTTTTTTATTTTGACTTCTTGGGGAGTATACTTCCGAGGGAGTAGGTGTGTGTGTGCTTATTCTTTTCCATGTTATTCTTGTCATGAGCCATAATAACGCCTGGTGTTAGTGTTGGTGTTGCTACTGAGAATGGGATGGTAGGTCGACTATGCTTGAGATACGAAGAGGCTTAGAAATATGTTTTAGATGTCTACTACTTACTAGCACTCTTCACTAATACTGGAAACCAAATATGAGATAGTAGCGAATTTGATAGGTATAATCAAGTTAAGGGTCTGTTAATATACTTTGGTGGTCTTAACAGATTGAAATACTAGGAGCAATGAATGTAGGCATCTCACCTTCTCCATAATACTCACTCTCAGCCATTATATCCCCCATCTTTGGCTCTTAGAACTGAATATCAATGGCAATCTCCATAACCCTGAATGACATGTCGTCCGGATACATACTAATAGTTCTTAGAACTTCACGCATACTCAATCGTGACTCTTAACAGAACTTCTCCTACAGATTAGCCAACACGTAAAGAAAACAGTACTATATCTCAAAGTTTCTTTCAAAGCTGAATTTAACTTTCTTTCCTGAAAGAAAGCTTCGTGTGGCTGTGTAACAACTCTATCCGTGACGTTGGCTGTACAAGCTTCATAATGGGATGTAGAGTTTTACCGTTGGTCTGCAGAATTTGTATGCTCAATCTTAGACTTGCCACTGGTCTTGGCAGTTGGTTAAGTTTCAAAGCTAATCGTGAGTAATATGGTTTGGGAGAAAGGTAAACTTGAGAGTTGGTGCTAATTGGGTTGGTGTTACTTAGAGATTCGAAGGTAAAAGTACTAAGTGGTCTATATCTGATGCCATTATTTAGCTGATGCGCTGGAAGGAGTATCGGTATGGAAAGCATAAAAGGACTGAGTAGTAAGTAATATGTATTTATCGAGTGATTGAGTCTTTTAGTTTCACTTAGCTCGTGCAGACTAATAGTGCATTGCAGTCCCTCTGCTCCATTTCCGCTTGCTCTGCTAGCCATAGTAAATGCTCACTAAGACACTAAAGAAAGAGAGAATTATCGCGATGAACACCATTCCGAATCATTAACATGTCACGCATATAGGCAACAGACCATACATCGAGAAGAAAAAGCAACACAACTAGACAGGTCAGGTGATAAGCGCATCTGTCGTGAACCAGAGGGGTCGAACTTTTGGCGACCGGTACTCTTTCAGAACCTCATGCAGTGTCATCATGATGGTAGTAACCCGGTCGACTTTACCTCATGTTGTACAAGCTTCAAGCCACCGTTGTGACATATCAGGCATCAAAGACAGATCTCACAAGAGCGTTTACATATCGGTTTCAGCATTTACGGCAGGTAAAAGAAAGTTGGAAAGCATGTGCGGTGTTACATTAGAGTCAGCTGTCCATGGTCTTTTCGCTCAATGCAGATGCAAAATGGCCAGCTGAAAGTGATCTCCTCTTTAGTACGTACCAGAGGTGAGTGACAGTGTGACATATTGTGCATGATGTTCGGCTCATTCTGGAGCCAAAGCACTCTGTGCTCGGATGGTCTTGGTATCTATATAATATAGTTTGGCTGGCTGTGGTGGTCTCAGTCCACATGCTATGCCATATCAATAGTGTCGCAATTAGGTGCTGACATCAGCTAATGTGCCCCGGTTTTCGACAGACCATGGTTAGAGGGTGACCTGAACCGATGTGATGGATCTAGATGGCCAAGAGGTGGTGGGGACGAGCGAGGGGTATCTCCTCAGCTGGATTGGGGATTGGCAGTATCGAAGAGGGAAGTTTGTAAACAGTTACGTCAGGAGCGAAGAACTGTTGTCTCACAACAGAACTATAAAATCGATCAGTAGCTCAGCTCACAAAATAGGGACTTCCTACTTCGGACTCCAGCATAAATAGACCTCTCCAGAAGTACGAGAGTGATGAGTCCAGACCATTATTCCTTGTAGCTTTGACCCCTGGATCAGCGGACAAAGTACGCATACCTATCTCCAGGATGTTTGTGCTCGGTGTCCCCTTAGATAGGAGAATAGATGACCCCAGCTCCCCTGGAGGATGAATCCGAACGAGATGACCTCATTCCAACACTCTTCGAGCATCCAGGCCAGTCCATTCCCTTCCTAAGATGGCTAGTAGAACAGGTGACCAAACTGGCATGCACTGTCAGCAGAACCAAGTGGGTCGACACCACCATTACACTCGGGATCAGAGGAGGAAAAATGAGGTTAAAAGCCCAAGATATCTCCCGGTAGTATGCATGCCCTACAGTAGTACGGGGCCCCCTCCTCTGCCATGGCTGACCCAGTGCCCCCCTGGTCGCCCGCACGGGGATGGGGTTGTCTGAAACACAGAACAGGGATTAGCCTCAGCAAGGCAGCCCGTATTGGCCAGTTGCAGTCCGGGTCGGGGACTAAAGTCTGACTCTGGTTAAGATGGGCGAGGACTCAGCGCTTAGGCGGGCATGTAAGGTAATGCATGGTAATGATGCAGGTTGCATTCTCACTAGCGGTATCGTTAGGCTATCCCAGACCTGCCTGCGAGCGGCTTCAATGCGCGCGCGGTTGCAATGTTTTCTTCAAGGCTGCCATGCCGTGTCCCCGTCATGGAGGTCCGGATTGAATCCGGAATCTTGCATGAAACCTCCGATAATCGAAGCCGCCCGTTGCATCCAGGCGTGTGATGAGTGTGATGGGGGAAGGTCATCAAGGCAGACAATGGGGCGCAGCGCTAATCCAAGGTCATGTGAAGGGAGAACCTTTGCGTTCCGGGGGGTAATTTCTGGGTTAGCAGGCATCGTACTTCGTATACAGTCTTCGATGGATGCAGATGCAGGTAGTGGTTAGTGGGAGACTGCACAGGAGAGTAAGTTTAGTTAGTTAGTGAACTAGTCACTCGTCCCGCTTATCTCATCGCCCATATGACCCGAGGCTAAGCATGATGTATCTGATAGTAGTGGGGAGATTATTCACTACCAACTACTATCGACAGGTAACTAGTCAAACAATATTCTTCTAGTTCGACTCTACATTGTTCCAGCAGTGCCCCTAGTTTCCAATAAATTCTCCGCCCATTATGTCATGGTGGTTCTGCAGAAACTTCGCCACAGTGATGTGGCTCAAAATGACAGCAGCGACGGGTGAGGCGCAGCAATCGGCCATCGCCGACACCGCCGTCAAATTCACGTCTTGTCCACCAACGGGGCTTTTCCTGTTGCCTGCCTGCATCCTGCATATCCTTGCTTGCCTACTCTCTGCTACTTCATTTCTTTTTTCATACCATTTTGCCGTCTCTCTATTTGCCCCATGAGGCGATCCATGCCTCTTTTCTTGACTCCAGCCTTGCTAAGTATGTATAGGCTAGGGTCCACGATATGTCATAGTGCGGGCCATAACGGTCGTTCCAGCATTCCGCATCCAATCTGATGGGTCGCATGGTCTCTAGTGCACAGCTGACGACGCGCTGGTTGCTTATGCCGCATTCTTGCGCCAGACTGACTACCTTGCCATCTGGTGCCCGGAACCGACTCCAGCCGACACAGCGATGCGCTTTGCCATTGTTTCCTCTCGTGCCTCCATCCACCCAATCTCTTCCCATGCCTGGTGAGTGTACTCCGCTTTGATTGAGTTCACTGCTGGGCGCGTGCTGAGACCGAAGTTTAGCATCGTCTTGCCTCACCCATTGACCCCAGGCACTGCCGCTTTTTGGTTGATGCTCCGGCCCTGGTTGGGTTGATGCCGTCCGAGGAGGGTCGTGCAAGGTCGGCTAGGGGATGACATGACCGCCTCTATGGATGAACCTTTTTTTCATCTCCATTTCAGCCAGTCCCGGTGTCGCCGGGCGCCCACTACCCCTAAATACCAGGCTTGTGCATTGGCTTGCCACAGATCCATGTGCTCGGAGTTTGTGCCTGGTCATGGTAATATCTCCAGATTCCGGTGTCTCCTGGATGACACGAGCACAAGCCAGGGCTCTCAGTCAGCCAACCATGAAGCGGCGGGTGGGCGTGCAGACTAGCGACAAGTTCTACACATTAGGGTAGTTCAGGGCAACGCGAGAAGCGCATGCATGCAGATCGGGGGGAGGTTCGACGGGAGAAATCCCCTTTTCGCTCCCTTTGTGCTGCGTGTAATAACGGAGTATCATTTCTTACGAGGAGGCCTCCCGTCCGACTGACTTCCCATTCGAGAAAGTCTGGAGATGACCGTCGACGAAGCCCAGTCCAATGGTAGATCGTAGCAGGGATCTCAGCTGCGGCGTATGAGCCGGACCGTGAGGGTGTCAGCGAATCTGAGGCCAGAAGAGACCTTGTACCAACTTCCAAGGACATTTAGCTCGCCCCACGATGCCCTCAACCCCTCCATGATTCATCAGCTGAGTCTGAGGTCTTTTTCCCTCCGCTACCCGAAGAGGATTAGGGGATCCGAATAATGTTGTGGATTGGAACGACCAGGCCGAGTTCGTTTCACGTTGCCCTTTCCCCATCGCGTGCTGCGTCCATGTTTCGATCAGGGCTTACTTGGAGGAGAGAAGTTCCTCCTATCACAAGTTTATCTTAGTGTGTGTTCTCTCCAATGTTGCAAGAAACATAGAATAAGAGCGAAAAGAAGTGGTGCAGTGTGCCGCACAACAATACGCAGCAGGCAGACAGTATCCGTTGGGTCACGATCTTTGGAACCGAGTCGGTGCGACAGCGTACTGGTGGCCAGCGCTTTGTGGACCCTCTCTGAACCTTTGGTTGATCAAGCGTGGGATTTCGGGTAGATTATCTGGTTCCTCTACACTTGATCCGGAAAGACCCTCTGTAGTAGTAGTTATTGTTGTTATGGAGTGTGGTGCTATTGAAGGCATATTCTTTCTACTATGTACACGGCCGACTCCAACGCGCTGCTACTGTGAGTCATGCAGCAAGCAAATGTGGGTTCTATTGTGCTTTTGCCGCGGGCAGCGGTCTGTATAACCCGTTGCGCGCAAAACTTGAGCGCGCGGGGGATTTACTCTTTTTAGTGGAAGATGAAGTTATGATGATACAGTCTTACTTGTCTTGTGCTTTTTCGTGTCTTTGAATTATGGTTAAGTTTCTCCTTTTGGTCCCGTGACTTAATACATTTGTTGGTTAATAAGCCACCCATTTTAACAAATTTAGTGAAAAATGCCCTCTTTGGGTAATTTAAGAGTGAAACTAAACCAGATTCCTTCTCAAAAACCCACCATGAGAGGGCCGAACAACCTACCATAAGCAGCGGTTTACTAGGCAGATGTTCTTCCCAGCTGAAGTTGGGATCCACCAGGTGGCGGAATGGGCGCCGGCTGCTATTGTCTTACTCGATTGGGCATTAGAATTTCCAGGGCAATCGGGTGATCTTCACAAACCAGGATAATGGTGGGGGGTTCAGCGAGGATATTCACCACGTTCTGTTCATTTACGACAGCATTCAAGATCCATGGAGTCTGAACTAGAGGACGGCATCCAGGATGGCTGCTGAAATAATGCTGGCTGTGAAGGCAACAGAGCAGAATCAAATAAATCGACCCGACCAGTCAATTCTGCCGACCACAGGACCGTTTTCCAGGAGCCGAGAGAGATGCATCCGTGCATGCATACACTCCAGCCCTCCATCCATCCGGAAGTGGATCAGCCATCGGGGCTTAGCCAGCCCTCTTGGTCATTGCAATTGGCATCGCCGTGCCCTGTCTACCTGCACGCCGGACTGAAGTGCATACTGTCTTCTGCAGCGCCTCCCACTTTTCCCAGCTGCTGTTGCTGCCGCCCCAGACGGCTCATGCACCATCATTTTCTCCCTTCACGTCTCTCTCTCCTCCAGTGTAACGTCCAACTTCTTTCTAACTCATATGCGTGAACGGGATGTCAGACCTGACGGTCCGTCCGACCGTCAGTCTGGGTCGTGCCTGTGACACCCAGACGAGGGTCTAGTCCGACCTCTTATTCCCACCGTCGCACTCCGTAATGTCCAGAGCAGTCCAGACACGATCCCAATTTCCGCAGGGGAGAAAAATAGGAGTTTATGACCAAAGAGAACAATCAAATGAAGAAATACACGCAACACAATCTATGAGAAAAAAGTAAAAAAAGGTAAAGGGGTGGAAAAAAGCACCTAGGCCCGGGAGGGATTCCAACAATACTACTACACTACTACCACTACTTACTTAGCTTTTGTGCTGTCTCTCCCACGCGATTCGACCGCCGAGGAACCATCCGAAACCCTCCAAAATCAGGACGCAATGCCGCCAGGGAACGACGGGCGCCTTGGTCGAACTTTCCTGCGATGCCGCCAAAGAGTTGTTTGGAACATTTCCTCGTCTTTTTGTTCCCGGTATTGTTTTGGAGGGGTAGATAAACTAAAGGGGGTGTGGAAAGAAAGAGGATAATACTAACTAGACTAAGCGCCTGTTGACCCAAACTTATCCCGTATTTAGGTACCATGTGTGTGTGAGTTGAGTGAGAGTGTCCACCCTACACAGATTTTGTAGTGGTATCTACTTAGTGTGCCATACACACTAAGTCACTAACATATGCTACCTACCCGCCCCGATCGTAGTGTGGTCTAAGTTGGCCCCATTTCTTGACTCAGGTGTGGGAAACCGAGACGGTAGTTAGGGAATCTCTTAGCAATGACATCTTTGGATCGACCACGCCAGGACTGGTCGGGTGTCTCCACCACCGACGACACTTCTGGACGCCTGCATCCTGCTAAACCCAGCCCGAAGGGGAACAGACCTGACGCCGCTGCTGCTGCTGCTGCTGCTGCGCACCTGAGATCGGACGGTCAATCCGGACGGTGGCCAATTTTTTCTTCTCGTACCATACGATCGGGATTCCGCGTCTGCATGAGTGAAAAAAAAAAAAAATCCTCACGTCTAAAAAAAGGAGGAAAATTGAGAGTACTAAATGGAAAAAGAAAAAAAAACCTCGGAAAACAAGTAAAAAAATGAGGGGGAAAGATTAAGAAAAGTAATTAATATTCTTAAAATGGGAAATCGAAAGTCGCCGGTCTGCGCTATTGGAAGGCAAAAGCTGGATGGGTAAATGTAGTGCGCGCGTGTTGTGTGTGTGTGTGTGTGTGTGTGCGTGGGTGTGTGTATGGATATGGGTATGTATCAGTGTGTATGCTGCTGGATTTTACAGTTGGGATTTGGATCTGAATTTTTATTTTATTTTCTGTCTTTTTATGAAGTGACTCAATAATGTTATATTGATCATCTTTGATCTCTCTCTTATTCTTTTAATATTTATCCATCGACATCTCTTTTTCTTTTTGGTCTGACAGTCGGAGCCAACGTTTCTTGACAGTGGTTGACAGATCTGCCCTTCTCACCTCATTTGGCGGCTGTATAAATCCGCTCGGAACCACAGTTTTGGCTGCTGCTACTGCTGCTCCTCCCCCCCTCTCCATACAGTACTGCCTCTTACTGTATCCATCCTGCATCCCATCCGATCCATCCATCAACTCGCTCAGTTGACTTTTACCTCCATTTAGGATTGACTGATCCATCCCGAAAAGTTGGTCGGGACTCTTGCTTTCCCTTTTGGGTCACCCTCGCCCCTCTCCTCTTTTACCCTCTCTTCTCCTCTTTCTTCTGCTTCCTGCTGCTTTTCCTTCTCTTTGTCTCTCTCATTCCCCCGTTTGTCCCCGCCTCGCTCTTTTTCTTTTCTTCCTCCCCTCTTCTGCCGCTCGTCTGGTCCTATTTCTTTTTGGTTGATTTTATTTTAAACCCTTTTGCTTATCATCGTTGCCATTCCTTTCTTTTACCCTCACTTCTATTGCGCATTCGCCCACACACACAAACAGTAATTTTGACCTATACAACCCTCTTCCTCCACCACTACTACTACTACTACTACTACTACTCAAGTAGTACTGCTTTCCACTCCACTCCCGGTTCCTGACGGTGGGGATTCTAATATATACTACCAACCTCCTCCCTCCGGGCAGGTAACCTTCCTTCCGACTACTTTCTAGTCTTTCCGCGCTGCCCCTACTCGCCTCGGTCCTCGTGACTTCAAGTTACTTTGCCGTCACGCTTCGGACTGTATCGGGATAAATCACTCGCTGTGGGCGAATGTCGCCTCTATGCTCTTTTTCCACCCTATCTTATCTCTCTCTTTACTGATCCGCCCTTCATTTTTGCGTTCGTTTGTCGTCAAGTATAGCACCATCTTTGCTCGTCACTGCGCAGTCTAATTATGCCAACCGTCTTGCTGCCCTCGTCGGCAGCCGCATTCGCTCCACGCTCGTCGCCGAACGTGGTGTTGAATGCGCGCATCGAGCCTTGGCTGACTGCCACCCTCAAAAGAGTGAACCGAGTCAAGCGACCCCTTAACAATGTTACCCAGCATACCAGATGCCTTACGGAGACGCTGTCATCCCCCGACGCCATCTGGACGCTGTGCTCTCTGATGTTTCCCAAGGCCCCCGATGCGGAACTCAAGAAGGACGACAACCCCCTCGTTGAGGCCATGTGCAACTACCAGATGGTCCACATCGAAGCGTACGTCGTGCATGTCGACATGGTTTCGCAGAAAGAAGTCGCCTTTAAATTGACTCCGGAGACCATCGAGGCTCTCGTCGACTACCACAAGGACGTCTATTCCGTCGACACGGCTGCCAGCACTTGGGACTGGTCCGACAAGGATAGTCAGCTGAAGAAGCTGCAGGAGGAATTTGTGCAAGCCGTCAACAAGTTTGTCTATCGCACAGAGGCGCTCGCGCTGGAAGGGCTCGAGGAGGATGGCGCAGGCGAACTGCTTGGCGGCCGCAGCGATGACGCGAAGGCGGCGATAACCAGTCTCTTCGTGCCTCTACTTCCCCCGCCGCCACGTGTAGTTGACGTCCTCCGGTCGACCCCTATCCTTCCCAGCTCGACCGTACCGGGAACCTGGTGGCAGGAGCCGATGCCACAAACACTGCCTTTGGAGTCGTGGAAGGTCCTCCCATCCAGCCCCGCAACAACCAGCACTGGCGAGCCGAACGCTGGTATGTGGACAACCATGAACGGCATGGGAGAAGCGCAGCTTACTTCCCCAACGTTCAGCCAGCCGTATACCACTTCACCATACAATGCGACACAATACTACAGCACAGCGGCGACGTCGGCGACCATCGCGGCGCTCCCGCTGCCGAGCATGCTAGTGCAACCGTGCAGCACAGTGGCTGGTCTGGCGGGGTTTGGATGGGAGAACCGGTACCAAGATCTTACACTGCCATACGGGACAACAATGTAACAGGTCCATGGAACCAGACACTTGATGTTAACGGTATCCCTGACTTCGCGTGTCTTTGGAATAGATCCGAGGATCCGTACCGACAATATGACTACGGCTCCATGCCACCGGGGCCCGCGTATACACAGTCACGAGAACGACCGGGGTCCTATCCCCACGGATACCCTCATCAGACTAATTGGCATCAATGACGGCGTTACCCTTGATGATTTGCGAAACACATGATACACCCTCACGTCTTTGCATTGGTTTTCTTATCTCTTTTCACATTCGATGACACCAGTTTCCACCGCAAGTGCCCTGTTCTTTTCGTATGCCTTTGACAGCGCTAGCGTTTTGTTTGATTTTCGTTCTATAGCATCAAGAGCGGCGGGTCGGCTGTTTGTTCTGATTTTTGGGGATGCCCCCTTTCAATCCCGCATTATATGTCATGAAGACCTGGTTAGCCTCGCGGCTTGGGATATGATTTGGATGAGGAATGTTCGCCCTTCGTTTCGTGTCGCGGAGTCAGGAGGGCTGCTGTGCTGTGCATGGTGGTCGTCCTGACGACATCGTCTGCTGGGTACAGGTACCCATTGATGGCAGAGGTGGCTAGCGACTGCTGTGGCTATCTACATCTGGGATGTGATGGCTGCAGAGTTTGGCAGCACAGATGATGTGGCGCAGGTAGCCCTGGGGTGTCTCTGATCCGAAGATCCGCCTGTGGCGGACCTGATCGGGTTTGCAACTAATGGTCTGTGACCGTCAGTGGAACCTTACGAGACTAACCTGGGCTCACTGTCCCGTCAATGTGGCTGTCCGGTAGGTTCATCCCCTATCATCCAGGCTGGGTTTGAAATTACCTGGATACGCCCGTTCACATCCTCACTGGGTGAGACTGTGAGCGGGAATCGGATGCTGGAGGGCTGCGCCCAGTCTTCTTTGGATCTTCGTTCTTTATTCTAAGCATTACTACGATCTTTTTCAATTATTTGGCACGATGTACTTAGTCTGACATAATGGACCACAAGACGATCGGCACTGCGCAGTAGACAGGATGTAGAGGAAGGCGTAGAATAGTAAGCACTGATCTCATGGCTGCCACGGGAGAGCGAACCTTGCTGGATTCATCGGCAAGAACGGTCTTTTTCTGCCCCGGACCGGTGACGTCAGACCACGAACTCCGCAACACCACCAGAACCGGAGGTACCATTCATTATCTTCCTCTGACGATGAACTTCTGCTCTTGATCGGATAAGCTTCTAATGGGTATTCTAGTGTTTTGTTTTATTCTATTTTATGTCTGCCTGGCTGCCTAGATCCTCCTGTGACATACCCTCCTCTTACTTCCCCCACCTATCGCCCGGAGATTTCCCTAACCTACAATCACCATCACTCCAACATCTCCTACATCTTACACAGGACCTCAGCATTTCTCCAGAGAATTCTCTCACGTCCAGAGAATAACCCCAGAACCAAGACAACAAAGAAAAATCTCACATGACCAATAACACCACACCACATACACAACAATTGAACCGAACCGACCCGAACCACAAGCATACCTACCTACCCAACCAAGTCGATAGAAAGAAAGAAAAAAAGAAAAATGCCCCTCCCCACGCTTCAAGAATCCCTGGAATCACTTTCCCCCACCACGTGGACCGACGTGCCCAGCACCGACCCCGCCGCCCTACGAGCCTACATCACCGACCTCCGCACCAAAGCGCACCTGATTGTCGATTCCGTCCCGTTGCCTTCAGACGACGATATCCAAGCGCAGCAGGCCGCGTACGGCGGACATCCGGCGAGTAAGGTGGTGAAGGCGAGCGGCGCAGTTCCTGTGCATGATCTGGTGGATCATGATAACGGGAATAATGGTGATAGCAGTAGCGGTAGCGGGAGTGGGAGTGGGAATGGGAAGAGCAACAACAATGGGAAAGGAAGCGGGGTCCAAGCACTTCGGAAACAATGGAGCAAGCCGTTACGGGTGACCAATTCCCGGGATAACCCGTTGCAGATTCCGATATATAAGTTGCAGGGGGGAGATGGGAAGGGACATTGGTTTGGGAGGCGGAGCGTGCATGAGGGGTTAGGGTTCGAGCGGTGGAGGGAGAAGTTGTCGGGTGAGATGGGGGAGACGTTGAGGAGGAATCAGGAACGGGTGAGGAAGGGGAAGATGCCGGATCAGGCGGTTAGGGGGATTGGGGCGGAGAGGTTGGTTGAGGGGGTGGAGGTTATGGGTGGTGGTGACAGTGGTGATGGGGAGGGGGTGATTGGTAAGGTGCAGGTGTATCATGTTTCGGCGCAGTTTCCGAAGCCTACGACTGCAAGGGATTTTGTGAGTTTGATTGTGAGTTGGGATGAGAGTGAGGGTGAGGAGGAGAAACGGAAGAAGGAAGGCAAGGGGAGGGAGTGGATGATGGTGTCGAGACCGTGCGAGCATGATGAGGTGCCTCCGGTGCCGGGGTATATTCGGGGTATGTATGAGAGTGTGGAGTTTATTCGGGAGATACCTGTGGAGGGTAAGCCTGAGGGGGCGATGAATCCGGTTGAGTGGGTGATGGTGACGAGGAGTGATCCGGGGGGTAATATTCCCAGATGGATGGTGGAGAAGGGTACCCCCAAGAGTATCTGTACGGATGCTGTCAAGTTCTTGAATTGGGCTTGTCGGGACGGGGAGAGGAAGAGGAGGTCCACGGACAGGTCGGTGGGCAGTCATAGTCAGTATGATGAAGAGGAGGATGCGTCCAGCAGTGAGGAGGACAGTGACGACGAGTCATACACTGAAGTTGAACATCACGGACTGATTGCCAGCTTCGCATACCTGGTGAACGCAGGTCTGGAGCGGTATGCGCCGCAGACAGTGCTGGACTACCTACCGCAGCACTCGCGCCAGGTCTCTGCCCAGAGTGTTCCTGCCAGCAGCACGGAGCCAGATGTCGAGGAGGCTAAGGAGCACGAAGACGATGCAGTATCGCACGACAAAGCGTCGATAGCACCATCAGCAAACTCGGGTGTCGAATCATCACTGGAAGCAGGCCCCGACGTATCCGCGCTGGAGCTAATGGCCAAGAACAAAAAGGGCAAGCTAACCTCGCACGAGAAGCAGCTGGCGAAGCTAGCAGAACGCAAACGCAACGTCGAAGCACAGCTGGATAAAGTACGAGCCGACATCCAAGCCCTCCGCGTGACCTCACCAGTCGAAGGTTCCAAGCGCGACAAGACGTCCACGACCGCTCTAGCAGCTACAAACGAGGGAGCCAGCAGTGAACCGCCAAGCAGCAGCCCAGCAAGCAGCGTGCACAAGGGCCAAACGTCAAGCAAGAGCCGTCATGCCGAGAACCCGGACCACGAAACGGCGCAGATGCACAAGGTTGCATCGGGGCTGTTCCACGACGAGTCCAAGCTGCTGAAACAGCTCGGCAAGATCGAGAAAGACCAGGTCAAGGAGGCATCGAAGATCGAGGCGCGGCAGCAGAAGCACGCAGACAAGCAGGAGAAGCATCGCTCGCGGGCAGAGACAGAGGCGTTGCGCCGCGAGGTAGAGGTGCTCAAGAAGGAGGTGCATCGACTGCGCGGAGAGCGCAAGCAATGGCTGGATTTGATCGGGTCATTGCAGAATGAGAATACGCGGTTGGCAGCGGCGCAGGGGGGCGGAAATGACAAAGCAGATATTAGCATGTAATGTGATTGTATATTAGCGTAGCGTTGTACATGATAATCGATTGATTTTATCCCATCTTATCCATATCCTATCCTTAGTATGTAATGTAATGCATGAAACCTCCACGCCAACGCCATTTACCCACCATTGAACTCCAGTAGTATGCAAATACCTGCATGACACAAACGCGACAGCACAGATCCCACCATCCATCACCTATCCCCTTCCACAATATCCCATCATCATCAAACACTCAACTCCTTCATATCATCTCATATCATCTCACCCAATCCTCAACCCCCACCACAAATCACCCCATAAGCAGTAGTACTGAATTATTCCTGCGTCTAAAAACCAAATCATCAGCTCTATCCCCAAACCCAAACCCCAAACAAAAAAAGAAAAGAAAAGAATGAACCAACCTCCGGCGGATTCCCCGCCCCTCTAACCATCTTCTCAATCATCGCCGCGCGAACCTTCTCCTTCGACTCGCCCATTCCCAACGCCATATACGACAACATAGGCGGATGACCAATATACGAGGCGTAGCTATCCCGGACAATGTTCGATACCCATTCGTATTTCGTCGTGTCCGCGTGGCCAGTACCGATGTACCGCGCTTGCATCGCCTCGAGGTTTTGGATCGTGCGGAGTTTGTCGGCCATTTTGATTGATTATCCTTTCTTCTTGGTTTTGTTTGGTTGTGATGGATGGAATGGGGGGTTGGAGTGGAGTGCAGTTTGAGTTGGTTGCAATTGGGGTGGTAGTTGGAGATGGGATGGATGGATGGATAAGAATAATTGATGATGATAAGTCACGTGACATGCACCCACTTGATATAAAAGTGGGACATGCACAAACTACAGCATGCGTAACTAGACGATATATATATAGCATAATGGAACAACGACAAAAGGAGGGAGATGCTGGAGATGGTATGCTTGCAGAGAGGATTGCAAGAGTTGTGCACGCGCACTTTGATGCTTTGCCCGCACGCAGTAAACCTATTCTGAGGGATGATGGGACGAGGGAGTGGATTCCTATGTGTGGGGTTGTGGTTGTGAGGAGTTTGTATATCCTTTCTTTATCTTTGAGCAAGCTATTCCTTGATAGGAAGAACTATGGTTGGGAGTAGTATGCTTACAATACGTTGGTGTAGATAATGATGATGATGATGATACAGCGGAGGAAGAATTGACCTGTGTGGCTGTTACGTATGTTTCACCTACCACTACCTACCCTATATAATTACACCACAAACACATTAATTATAAGTAAATACTAAAGCATCCCAGCTCCGGCGCAAAATGCCTCCCTACCACACAACTCGCATCCAGCACCGGCCTCGTCCTCCACGACTGGCACGCCGAGATCCTGGCCCTCCGCGCATTCAATTACTGGCTGTTGAGTGAGATTCGCGCATTAATAGACCATGAACATGATCATCAGCAATCTATATCTACACCCAAACCCTCCCCCTTCATCCGCCGGCGCCAAACCCCCAACGAACCCCCCTTCGAACTCCACCCCTCCCTAAAAATCTACCTCTACTGCACGACCGCCCCCTGCGGCGACGCCAGCATGGAACTCACCATGGCAGCGCAAGACGACCCGACACCATGGGAAATTACCCCCTCAGAAGAGGAATCAGCATCGGCAGGCCTCCTCTCCGGCCGCGCCAACTTCTCCCAGCTAGGCATTGTTCGCCGCAAGCCCGCGCGCCCAGACGCCCCATCCACGAAAAGCAAGTCCTGCTCGGACAAACTTGCCCTGCGACAGGTGTCGTCTCTCTTGTCGAGGGGGGTGAGTCTGTTGGTGGCTGTTACGGAGAATGCGTATCTGGCGGGGGTGGTGATGCCCCGTGAGGAGGTGAGTGAGACGGGGTGTGTGAGGGCTTGGGGGGTGGAGGGGAGGATGGGGCCTTTGGTATCGAGGTTCGAAGAGGGAGGAGGGGGTGGGTACGGGTATGGGTATAAGCCGTTCCGGGTTTTGTCTGTTGATATGGAGGTTGTGGAGGAGTTGTGGGCGTTTGGGAAACCGAAGAGTAAGGAGGCTGGGATGAAGTGTAAGCCCGGGAATATCTCGGCTGTTTGGACGGCTGCGCCGGTTCTTGGGGGAAGTAACAGTGGTAGTGGTGGTGGGGTGGATCGCTATGCGGCGGAGAATGGGGCAAAGCAGTTGCCGAAGTTGAGTGGTTCGTGGACCGGGTTGTATGAGACGATCATTGGGGGGATGAAGCAGGGGTATAAGGCGTCGGTGCCGGTGGGGAAGGGCGCGTCGGCGCTGTCGAGGGCGAAGATGTGGGGGGCGTTGAGGGGGGTGTTGGGTGGTGGTGATGGTGATGGTTCTGAGGGCGGAGATGGAGGGCAGGTGGTTAGGGCAGCGTCGTATAAAGAGTTCAAGAGGGCTGCGCTTGAGACGTCTGTGGGAAAGGCACGGGAACGGGCTATGCTGGAGGCGAAGAAGGTGCTGGTGCCGTGGGTGCCGAATGATGGGGATGATGAATGGGGGTTGAAGGTGTTGGTGGATCAGAAAGGGAAGAAGAGAAAGCGTGATGACATTAAAAAGAATAAAGATGTCCAGTCTAATTAATACATGTTATGTCCGATATGTGACTCGTTCAGACGAATAGTATCATACATTAAGAACTTTTGTTCGGTCTATACCCATAATTTCAGTAAATGCCAGGAAAGATCCGGCTCCGGACCAACGACGTATACCGGTCCCAGTCGGCTCCGTACTTGCGCTTGCACTTCTCCTCATCGCGCTGTTCGCGGTGGATCAGCAGCGTACCAAAGTACACCAGGAAGAAGTACGTGAAGATCATTCCCCAGCCCCGGCTCTCGGGGGTCTGCACTGCCTGCTTCTGCAGGTCCCCGGTGGCCGGGTTGATGCTGTGGACGATGGCGTAGCCGGCAATGCCCGTAGGCAGACAGTACGACCACGACATGACCCAGTCGCCCAGGTAGTTGATGTGGCGGGCGCTTCCCCACCAGCCAGACGTGATCAGCTTGGAGCCGCTGGCCGTCTGGATGTACTTGAGGTGCTTGACGCGGGGGTCGTTCGGGTTGGTGCGGAAACGGTTCTTCTGGTTGTTGGCGCCCCGGAAGATCGAGTAGCCAACGGCAGTAACAGCCAGAACGAGCAGGATGCCATTGAAGCCCAGCTCGTACGGGAAGACGGCCAGGTAGCGGGTCTGGAAGTTGTAGATAAACGGCACCCAGACGAGGTCGCCAAACGAGAGCATGAATCCGAAGCCGTCCATGATGATGTCCATTGTAGTCAGCAGGGCAGGCTCCATGTACAGGCCGTCCAGGACATAGAACGCCTGGAAAGCAGTCGAGATGACGATCGAGTCCGTGATGTAGCCGTAGGTGCGGTACTGGCGGGCAATGTTCGACAGGTTCAGGATGATCCACCCCAGCAAGCCGGGGCGCATTTCGAGCCAGGACTTAATGTCAATCGTGCGCGAAGCTTCGCTGACGAAGGGAATCGGCAGGCGTACCCGGGGGTTCAGCTCTCTGCCAATGAAGAAATCATACAACGCGTTGCCAGTGTGACCACCCGGAGCTAGCTGGCGGAGCTCGGGGTTGGGCTGCCCGGGGGCCGGAACGGTGAAGCTCTTCGCATAGACGAAGACGGCGATGACAGTGCAAATCACTAGGTTGGCGGTGATAACCTGCAGGTAGTTGTCCCAGAGGAAGGTCCAGACAGCAAAGTCCGCACCATAGACGTAGGTGCCCGTCGCACAGCCGGAGAGGATCAGGACGGCCGACAGAAAAGCTGCAGGGCGTTAGAGAGGCAGATACGAGTCAATTAAAGAAACCAACCGTTGAACTTGTAGGGCAATCTTCCTCCACATGCCAATTCGGTGCCCTCGACCTCCTGGCCAGGCAGGAACACGTACATGGCCAAGCTAAGCAGATAGTAGCCCAGCACCCAAAGTGTCACGCTGGTGTCATAGAAATCCGCAAACCCTCCCTTGGGCCAGCCAACCTCCGCCTTCAATTGGTCCAGCGTCACGGTAGACGGGTGTAGTAGCGAAGGAGCTGGGCAGCCAGAGACATCGTTACACAGGAAGGTGAAGCTGTAGACCAGCACGGGCAGACCAAACACGATCCCAAACGCACCGAGACTGTGGGGTCAGTATCCAATTGTCAATTGTAACCGAGCATTGAGCACCTACGGTCCTCCAAATTCGTAGCCACGTTTCTCTGGAATGGGCTGAACCCGGACCTTGGTCTTGGAGTCCTTCTTGGGAGCCATGACGGGCTATACTGGATCTTGATATGGGGATTAAGGAGAAACTGGAGAAGAAGCCGCGGGACTTTTGGCAGAAGCGGAGCCGACGATGCGGGCGGTGAGAAGCTCTCGATGGAATCTCCGCAAGAAATGCGACGTTTCATCTCCGCGCATTACGACGCCTGCTTCATCTGCTGCTCCTCCTTGCCCTTCCCTTCTTTTCTCTCTCTTCTTTTTCTTCTCTTTACCTTTGGTCTCTCCTTTGCTTTGTTCTCCTTCGATCTTCCCAAACCTACCGATCAGTCCCTACTTCCAGCTGCCTGATCCATCCTCGTTCCCTTCCTCGGCTTAGAACCGTTATCGCCGACCGTCCCGGCTGTCTCCACCGGAGATCATCTTCCCACCATGAAGCCACCCACATCCTCCTTAATGAGGTTTCTCTTCCTCCTGGCTGCTCCGCTTGTCTCGCAGGCTGCCTCCGATTCTTCTGCTCCGAAGGATGCCCTCTCTCCCTGCGTCGTTCGCTCTCCCACGACTGGCCTATTCTACGATCTCAACACCATCTCCTTATCTCCGCCCCCAGTAGACGGCGACAAACCTCGCAAAGGCGCCCGAGATGAGAGTTGGCACGCCAGAGGACACGATTACAATGCCAACTTTACGTTAAATATCTGTGCGCCCGTGGTCGAAGATATCAAGGATGTGGTGGGAGTGGACCGCGCAAGGTGGAGGAATGTTAGCGCCTACTACGAGAGGGAGGGTAAAGTCTACTCCATTGGGTACGGTGACATTATTCTTCTATACCACTTGCCATAATCACTAACAGACGCGGTGCAGTCAACAAGCATCAGACCCCTTCTTCCGCGGCCGAAAGCTGGTCATGAACTATACCAATGGCTCCCCTTGTGCCGGCGACTACATCGGAAATGCCGCCCGCACTAAATCCACCATTATGTCGTTCCTTTGTGAGCGCGATACCCCTGCCTCTCAGGCGACAGTCTCTTTTGTCGGCACTATGGACCAGTGCACATATTTCTTCGAGGTTCGAAGCTCTGCCGCTTGTGGCGCGACCGCGCCCACACCGGATAACCCGGGTCTTTCGCCAGCCGGCGTTTTCGGCGTAATGTAAGTGAGAAACAC